AGCATCCCAAACCTTATTTTTCTCCATTGATGGCCATTATTTGGAATGGAGTCGATATAACTTCTAGTAATATCATTGATCTAAGCCCCAGCTTTGGTGGCCTCTGTAACCTAATGGGTCCAGCCGGCAACAGATATTGGCTCTGCCCTGCCGGGTTTTAGGGCGTTTGCCTGGTCACCGTATTCTTGGGGCCAGTCTCTCCTTCCAAGATTCCTTGTTTCCATCCTCACTGTTCTGTTCTTTCCAGAAAAGGTCCTTCTTCCCTGCGTCCTTTTCTAATGCTTTGTGGGGACTTATCAACATGTTTCTGGCCCTTCCTCAAGACCTGTCTCTTTGGGTCCCTTTCGAAGCCATCCTCCGGGTTGTCTCCATGATCGAAAGCTTCCGGAATTGTGATGAAATATGACTTATGTCGCTTTGCTCCCCATTTGCCTCCATTTGTAAGTGCTTGATGACCCTCATGGAACAAGGGGTGATTGTGCCACCTTCTTGTGTCCCCAGCATGAACTGTTGTGGAACCCGTGTGGTCAGGCTCCCTGGCACTGAGGCCGTCTTGGTGGGGAGGGCCACTTACCTATGCAGAAATCATGCTTCTGTTCAGCCCTTGTTCCCAGAGGTTGTCAGGAGTTTGTCTAAAGAAGATCTTCCTCTGTGATGCCCTCATGGACAGAAAACATAACTGCATTTCCCTAAGTTTGAATTCCCCTTGTGGAACCAGATTTACCAAATAAAATTGCTCGTGTTAACATTTCTAACCAACCAAGATGTTTATGCAAACCAGCATGGAATTTCTTCTGACTCACCTCTGATGTCTTCTGTATTTTACAACATTTTTGGCAAATTATAAGAGACTGTTGACTTAATCAATCTTATTTTGCTTTTAATGGATCTGCAAATATTAAATGAAATACTCAAAAGGGACATTTCCGGAATTTCCCAGAACCATTCCTATAGATTCAATGTGTCGTTGGATGGAGCATGAAAAGTATTTGGTGCCCAGAGAACCACACCCTAAATTCTGTTCACTAATAAAATTTCCAAAAGGGATCCAAGGGGTTGCTACGGTGAGCGGTGTGTTTTCTGGGGGGGAGGGGGTGTGCTAGAAAATTCTCCGCTGGAAGAAAGTCCATCTATCTTGGGCTAACTACACTGTGGGTTTCTTGAAAGGAACACCTAGTTGCCGCTGAGATGTGGCTCAACTCTGTTTTCCTTGGTGATTCCCCGTGATCTCCGGGGATGTCCTGGGCAGCACAGTAAGAAAGCAAATCACTGTCACTTTCTTCTTGACAATTTCCAACTTGGAGTGAAAGTGGCTTTCCGATGACTGTGTAATGCATGCTGGATTTTATTTCTGTATCCGTGTGTTTGATGAGCAAAATCTAGAGTATACAGCATAGGACAGAACTCTAAAGGAACAAATTGAAATTTTTAAAAGAATCAGGTGGTGGTGGTATCAGACACAAGGTGGCCATGAATTGTTCTTGTGTCCTTAGAAGTGGCCCGCGTGGGCTCTGGAACGGCGCCTGACGCAGAGGTGGTCTTCAACCAGGGGGTGTCAGACGCACCGATCATTACTGTTACTTCAGAAATCAAAACCAAATGCCAACCCGAGGTCAGACTATTCAAGGATCAGAACTTTGTTGTTTAAGTTCTTAACTTACAGATAAAAAAATCTGATTCTGGGTAACTAAGGATACAGCAAATTTATTGGAAATACTTGGAGGCCTCACAGAGTGGAGGGCCGCTCAGACAGCGGCTCCCCGGGGGCCCAGAGCGGGTCTGTGGTCCGCATGGCCCAAGACCATAGACCAACGTCCTCAAAGTTCACATGCCAGACAGACAGCACCCCAGTGGGCACGGCGGGACCCAGCGCAGGACCCTGCGGGCCAGCCTCGGGGCACACCAGCTGTTCGGTACCAGCCCAGAGACTGGCTGCTGGGACGGGTCTCCATACCAGGCTCTCTGCACAGCGACCAGAGTGCCCACCGCTAGCAGCGGGAGCCGCTCTGTGAACCCAACGGCTGATTTCTTCCTTCTCTCTCTTATCCATGAAAATGATTTCGGCACTAGCTGTGACATTTGAGTGATTTGTGGGTTCCGTGATTATCATACAAAATGTGGTTCTAGACCGATACGGTGATTAGTCACGCTTCAGTCTGGCTCCTCTGTGGTTTTGGGAGGCCGTGTTCGGTCTAGGGAGCTGCAGAATAGTTTTTGGGTAGGAGCACAGAGAAGGATCTGAAAGGCAATATTTCTAGGTTTTTCTAGTACATATACGGAAATGTATATTGTTTAAAAAATCTAGTAGCATTTGGTTATGTCAGTAAGGACGAATCACAAAATTCCATGTATGATTGTCATCCTATGGTACATGCAGGTGCCAGAGAGGCTAAAATCCAAGTATTTCCAACTATTTCCAACTATTTCAACTATTCCAACTATTATCATCATAACCACAGTTCATTATCTAAAAAGAAATCTCCTGAGGGCCTGATATATGCCAGGTGCTCTCCTGACCCTGGGGGAGGAGTGGCGATCACAGCTAAGTCTTCTGAAACATGGTCTGTAGAGACGATCCGTGCGTGACTCCCGCCCGTGTGCTGGGCCCGCGGCAGGTGCCCGTCCCCCACAGCTGTGCGGTGCGCCTCCCACCTCTCGGCCCCCACGTGGGAACACGCTCTTTCTCAGCATCCCGGTGGTCTCCAGCTGTCTGATGTCACAGCTACAGTCACAGAATGTTAGCTAAGTGGCTCCTAAGGGGACCCAGGCATAGTTCACAGAGAACACTTCAGAGGTAGAAAAGTGCTATAGAGATTTCTAATCAAAATATATTCACTCAGTGCGTTATTTTATTTTATTTTCCTTTGCAAGAAGAAACCTGAAAGCAGAAGAATGTCCTTTCTAGATGCCACAGCAGCTTCTTGTGAGGACGGGTGTGCTCCTGGGTGTGTGGGCCCCGGGGTGGAGGGCCTCTCTGCCGTTAGCCGCGTGCTTGGCCGGGAGCACAAGGCTCAGGTCTCAGCAGCTCCTCTGCGGCTGGGAGGCCCCACCTGTCCTGCCTCCGAGGCACGGCGGCTCTGTGATACGCCTTGACTTCAAGCCCCGGACGTGGGGTCGTGCGGCCGGATGATTGTTCCAACTTCTTCCTGGTCAGGGGTCCAGAGGCTGCACCTAGAGAAGCCCATTCCACAGATGAATCTCAGACATGTGCCCACAGTTTCTTTAAAATGTGTGAGAAAGGGGATGTAATTTGCTCATTTTTACTGTCCTGTATTTAGGCTGGAAGGATCCAGAAGACGAATATTTGAAACATGCTGAATATTTCTAAATTATATTTTAAACCACGTGCGACTCGATAGTGAAGGATAAAGTTATTCTCCATGTTTTACTTTATTTGACTCAAAGTCATTACCGTCTGAGGACGACGGTGTGGACGGGACTCACTTTGTTGGGACACTGGAGTGCGGATGCGCCAAGGGATGGGCTGACTTTTAGAGCTTTCTTTTTTTCCTCTAAATTTTAATTTAAATTCCAGTTAACTAGCGTACAGTGTAATATTAGACTCATGTGTACCATACAGGGATTCGGCACTTCCATGCATCACCGGTGCTCATCACAAGGGTCCTCCTTCATCCCCATCACCTGTTTCCTCCATGCCCCCGCCCCCCTCCTCTCTGGGACCATCACTGTGCTCTCTGGGGTTATGAGTCGGCGTCTTAGTTTCTCTCTCTCTCTCTTTTCCCACTATGCTCATTTGTTTTGTTTCTTAAATTCCACATATGAGTGAGCTCATACGGTGTTTGTCTTTCTCTGACTGACTTCTTTCATTTAACATCATACTTTCTAGGTCCATCCACATTATCGCAAATACAGCAAAAGGATTCATTCTTCTTTATGGCCAAATAATATTCTGTTGTGTATACACCATGCCTTCTTTATCCATTCATCAGTCGATGGACATTGTTCTCTCCTTAGTTCGGCTATTGTCGATAAAACTGCTATAAACATCGGGGGGCAGGTATCTTTGAATTAGTGTTTTCTTATTCTTTGGGTAAATACCGAGAAGGGCAGTTGCTCGGCTGGGTAGTTCTGTATTTAACTTTTGAGGAACCCCATAGAGTTTTGCGGTTGGCTTATTTAAATCAGTGCCACACAGATGGCGTGAGATCTCCATGTGCCCAGAGGCCGTGGGGCGCAGGCTGGCCACGCGATCAGACCACGGGCTTCTGAGACTGACGGTCTGGATCCACGCTCTGGGGCGGCCCCTTTCCAGTTGCGTGGCATTCCCTATGTGACTTGTGCATTCCTCTGTTTTCTCATCTACCCAGTGGCTAAATGAGAAAACCCATGAAATGACTGAGGGCAGTTCAAGCAGAGGAAAACTCTAAACAGCAACTGGTTTGTTCCCTGAGAGTCAGTGTTACACTGTTGCACAGTGTAACTGTTACTGTTGCACTGTGTCTCCCTCATCGTTAACAGCAGGCGTTCCCACTGTCATTTCTAGGACTCATTGCTCTGCGTACACGCATTCTGCCGAGTGGCCCTGGGCTCACCGTGGGCTGAGATGGGGTTCCACTGGGCTCGCAAATAAGCCGGGCACATAGACGTTCACTCCCTTTGCTTCAGCAAATAAAAGTGCTGACAATATTGAAAGAAGTAGAACATGATTCTAGGTCCAGCACGGATTGTAAAAAATGTTAGAAAATACTTACAAATGGCCTTGGTGCTTACATCCCAGACTGAAACGTGGCACAGGCTGATGTCCAGCTTTTCCCGTAGTCCTGTCGTGCATCCAGAACCTCCCGCCTCTAACAGGAGGGATCCCAGGGGCACGTGGGCCTGCCGTGCCCCAACTCTCTCCTGATCTGTCTGCCCCTCTGACGGGCCAGCCCCAGCTCCTTCCTTCCCAGGTCCCTGCAGCTCTCCGGGCGTACCCTCAGGGACTCCGCGCGGAGCTGCCTACGTGCTGTATGCTCACACCCCTGTCTTTCCTCCCCCAGTGTCCTCGTGTGACCAGGAGCAGCAGTCAGCCCTGGAGGAGGCCAGGCGGCCCGAGAGCGACAACGTGGTGATCCCCGAGTGCGCCCACGGTGGCCTCTACAAGCCGGTGCAGTGCCACCCCTCAACTGGCTACTGCTGGTGTGTCCTGGTGGACACCGGACGCCCCATCCCTGGAACGTCCACCAGGTAAAGCTGCGCCCATGGGCCAAGGGAGGGAGGAGCTGGGCGGCAAGCCCCCATGGGTGCCTCCAACGTGGAAGCCCGGCGGCCAGACCTCGCTTGGTTGCCCGACTGTTCCCGCCATGCGCTCGCTTCCCTGTCTGGGCTGCCTGCAGAAGCTGATGGCTCTGGCTGGCAGAAGCCGGAGGAAACCATCTCCGGGACGGCCGCCAGGAGCTGCCTGTGTGAAAGACAGCAGGTGGCTATGGAGGCTGAGCTCTTACGCGAGGTTTGCTTCTGTCCATACGGACGCAGGCTGGGACTGTGGAAACCGTCTCTGGGATCTGGTGTGGTGGGCATTCAGGTAGCATCGGAAGCTTCCGTGGGCTTCTGGCTTTGGCAAAGCGAGCCAAGCATTTCCCAGACTGAAAGAACTGATCTCCCAGAAGGGCTTTCTATAGCACGAAAACAAAGACAGCGCGCTCAAGGCCAGAGCAGCGATCGCTGTGCTGGGCTCTGAGATATAGAAACCGTGCTCACTCCTGCTCCGTGAGTTTGGGCAAATGGTTGCATGACCCGAATCACACAAACTACTCACGGAATTTATAAAAAACACGAGTGAAGATGTGTCTGCCATTCTTTGTTATATGAAGTGATCTCGAATGTCCATAGATTTATATAAAAACAATTATAAAGTACAAAAATATTCTTCTCAAAAGTTATCAAATTTAGCCACTGGCTTCTTTTCTAGGACCTAGACACAGGCATTTTGACACTTCCTAAATTATTTCCCCCAATTTTTCAAGTATGACCTTGAGTTATTTCAAGGAGGAAACACTCCATCCTTTCATCCTCCCATCCATCCTTTTACCTATCTGTCTGTCTTTCTGTCTGTCTATCTATCTTCCCATCCATCCATCCGTCCACCAACCCTTCCTCCTTTCCTCCCTCCCTTCCTTCCATCCATCTCAAATGCTGATGGTCCGCGATAGCCGATCACTATTCCAAGGACTGGGGAAAGAGCACTGACCCACAGAGCAGGTCTCCTCTCTCAGGGACTTTCTCTCCTGCTTGGGGAGTATCAGGGAAGGAGCAAGTGGCAGCACTTCTGCTGCAGCACGAGGGAGACCTCACATCCCAACAGTATCAGATCTTAGCAGCTCATACCCCTCAAAGGTGAAGGGAAGTTCGGACTATCTCAGCAGTTCAAGGGTGTTAATAAGCATTTGTTGCTGTTGTTGTTCTCTCTGCTCTGGAATCTTCACTTACTGGATTGCTTTGTGACTTATCCCTGACAGAGTTTCTAGAAGCATCATCCAACATAGTTGGGGCTTCCTTCTGACGGCAAGGAAAGCCTTCCCCATAGGCTTTCTGGGGGTCTCCCCTCACTGGAATGCTCAGCCTGTCACCCCCAGACCAGGCCTACTCTTCACGGAGGAGGTTTCCCATCATTTGGCACCAGACCTGGGACAGGCCACCACCCCAGTGCCTTCACTGTCGTGCATGCTGTTCTAGGGGTGAGGAATGTACCAGAAACAAAATGCACAAAACTCATGCTTCCACAGGGCTTCTGTTCCAATGGAAGGAGATGGACTTTAGGCAAAGCTGAGAAGTAGTTGCACTGAGTGTCAGGAAATGTGCCGGCGAATGCCCAGTGCTCTGGAGGAAAACAAACCAGGAGGAGGAGAGGGTGTGCGGAGGCGGGGGGGGGGGGGCTTCAACTTGACCTGAATGGCGGGAGATACGCCCTGGAAAGCGGATGTTGGAGTCAAGTCCTGAAGATGCTGGTGGTTGATCTGACGGATGTATGCGGGGGCGCAGTCCCCACGGAGGGAGTGAGCGCTGCCCTGCACAGTGGGGGTCCCGGAGCCAGAACCCAGTTGTTTGGGCCCAAAGCCAAGGTGTATCAATTAGGACATTTTTCACGTCTAACAGTGGTAACTCTGACAAGTAGGCATAAACAAGGGGCTACTTCACCTCAGGGAAGAATTACAGAGGTGGAGAAAGCTCCGTTTCGGTTGACGCTGTGATTCGGTGATGTCAGTGAGGACACAGTTGTCTCTGCCCTTGGACTCTTCTCATGGTGCCAGGTGGCCGCCAGGATCCGAGCATCTCATCCAGACACCACAGCATTCAGGAGATCCACCGCCTGTCTCTGTCTTTCTTAGGAAGCCGACCCACCCTCCCTCCGAGTCCCCTAGTGAATTTAGCGCATGGATTGTTGGCCGGAATTGGATCAAGCGACCATGGCTAAGCCTGTCACTAGCAGGAAAAATTAGTTTAAACTGATCTCTAGGGGGCGTGGATGTTGGGAAATCAGTCCAAATTACCAACATTAAGGGACATCTGGTAAACTGCTGGCCAGCATCAGCAGCCCAGCCAGCACCGCGGTTCCCTCTGTGACTGATCAGCATCGTCGGGGAAGTCCTCCACGTTCCTGTGTAAATGCCCAGTCGTGCTCGAGCTCCTTTCTTATGATTTTCTGAAATAATCCGTTCCAGGGAGATGCTTCATGGATTTGTCTTAACATTTGGGTAGATGATTCAGGTTTTCTCCCTCAGTTACCCTTTCCATTTGTATTGGCTGATGGGGAAGAATAATTTAAAAATCCAGGACAGAAAGAAGCCATAGACATAAGAAGCATTGTTGTAAGCCAGCTTCCTTTTCCTTGTGTCCCCAAGCAAGAACGTTAAAACGCATGGATTCTGTCTTAGGCTGTGCTGAGCACGACAAGCCCACGTGGTTTGCCTGCCAGGCAGACAGCCGCCTCCTTCTGACAGAGTTTCTGATCTGATCATCTAGGGATGATCCTCTGGGTGGAAGCGTGAGTTGGTCCAGGTGCAGAAGCGCTTCCCAGTCCTCCTGCTTTTCGGTGTCAGAACTGACATTTGGGCTACACGTACAGATTGCCTGTGGGCTGGAGCCCAGGCACCTGCCTGAGCCCACATCATGTGTGGCAGGATAGGATCTGGGAGGAGAGGGGCAGGTTCCAACCTGGCCACTGCTGCGTGGTGGGGAGAGCTGGCACGGGCTGTCGGAGGGAGTGTGGCGGGCTGACTGCCAGCGAGCGCATTAGCTCCCAGAGCGGAGAGGCTCCCCTTGCACATCGTCACAGCTGAGGACGGGTTCACCCATCGCCGTCGGCTCCAGGCCCTTCTTACGTCGCCCCTGTCCCAACTTCAGGGACTGTCTCTCTCAGTGGCCGAGTGCACTGGCAGCGTGAGCATGAAACCACATTGCTCCCTGGCAGAAAGCCTGCTCTCTGATGGGCAAGCAGATGGGGAAGGAAGAGGTGTTCATTTATTTTTTTTTCATACAAATAAGTTCAACACTATTGAAAAGAATGTGATGGATGTCAACCCTGAATTTTAATTTTTTTCGAGACTTCAAAGGCATTAATTCTATTTCTGGAGATTGTCAGTTCTGCAGGTCAAGGCACTTCCCAATACTCTTTAAAAGAGGCAGAATACTGTCATTTAAATATAGTTTTTTTTTTTATATCAGCAAAATGCTAGGATTCTTAAGACACGTCCAGGTCAAATTTGGAACAAAACCAGAATGACCAGTGTGGCTAGCTTCTGGGTCACTGCAGAGTTCGAGATCAGAACGGGGGTTTGGAAACAATGGGGTCTCTTACCGCCCACGTGAAGGACGCCGGTACTGACTTCTGGCATTATGAGGCTCTGCACAGAGTTCCTATTACTCGTTCAGCTTCTAACCCAACAGAGCGGCCCGTGAGCGTCCCCGAGGTGCACTCGGGTATTCCTAGGAGCAGGATGTCCCCAGGGACAGCCGGGCCCTGAGTTTCCAGCTCATCCATCAGGAGCTGGAACACATGCTTGTCTTTTCACGGCTCCCCTTTGACGGGCCATCAGCTGTGAAGACATCGCTTCTAATGTAGGTGTCAATTCCAACCTATTCCAACCCCCCCAGACACTGACCCAGAACCTGAAATTGGGAGAGTTCTCCAGATTTAGCATGTATCTGTGAAAACAGGGGCGACCTCCCCACGGGCTGCTGCTTCTGCTCATTTCCTCTTGGCAAATGTTCGGCTCTCATCTCCCTGCTATGGTGCCGGGAGGGAGAGGAATTCCCCTGGCGGAGACGTGGGTCCCCCTCCCCTTGCTCGCATTCTCATGACTGTGGCTCCTCTGCCACCTGTAAGGAACCCCACTGCATTTCACAAAAACATGAGCTAATGGCTTTTGGTGAAAACGTGATAGCTTAACTACTTGCCGAGTGTGTCAGGGACTCTTTTTAATTTCAAAAACCACATTTCATAAAGACATATTACGTTTGCGGGAGTGGGTGTCACAGTCTCTATCATCAAAGAGGCCATTCGGGGTGGGAGGGCCGGGAGGGGTGCCTTGGTTTCAACCACACCCGGTCGGCCCTGTGGGACTGGCCACCAAGGGAAGGACCTTAAAATGTGTCCCTTGGGGAGACATTTCATTCTCTTTTATTTCTTCTGATGGGAAAACAAAAAGTAAGGAAAAATAAGAATCTGGAATGACCCCTATGAAGTAAGTGTGAGCTCCCATCCCTTTCTTGGGGAGTGAGAGAGGAAGATGGGGCGGAATGGGTGGTGAGAAGCCGGGAATCTGCCTACTCCCTGGAAATCAGCAACCTTCAGTCCAGGACCTCCACCCGCACTCCTGCCCACTGGCGCACACTGTCCACCCTTTAACTACATGAGGTACGGGGGTCGGCGGGTTCTCTCTCAGTGTCCCCAGTGGCCAGGGGTTCTCCCCATGACCCCGGGCTCCCCCATCTGTGGTACCCAGTGCCCAGATCACGGACGTCCCTGAAGAGTGGCCCACGAGCACCCCCTGGAGACCTGGGCCAGCTGCTACCCTGCGCCTGTGTGGGAAGCCCATCAGGGACAGGGGCCTGCATCCCCTCAGCTCCAGAATCACCACGATGCCCCCTCTCGGGGGGAGGGTCAGCAGCACCCACACCTCCTGCTCCCACGTCAGGACCCACCTGTCAGGACTTCTCGGCAGTTTCTGTTCACTCACTGTAGTGCCACGTGCTGCTCTCTCTCTCTCTCTCTCTCTCTCTTTCTTTCTCCCCTTCCCTCACTTTCCCTCCCCCTCCCTTCCCATTAACACAGGGACAACCTTCTGTATCTTCAAGAATCGGATTAAGATGTAGCTGGTCTTCCAGTTATACATAAATGTAAACTTCTGTGGTTCTTTTTCTGACTTTTCCTTCTTTCCCGGGCCACACCCGAGGCCTCCTCTCCCCCCGCCCGTCCCCTCTGAACCACATCAAACCCTGGAACAGGTGGTGACGAGGAGGTAGTGGCGTTTGGCAGCCCACGTGCAAGATTTGTTCCAGAAACTGGAGGGAGATGCAGAGCCTTATGCCCTGTGCTCCTTCCTATGGACTGAAAAATAAGCTTATTATGGCAAATTGTCACAAAGGTCATAAACGGTCATAAATCAGGAGAGGTCGATGCCACAGATGTGCTGTGGGCCAAGGGCAGGTGTCTGTGCACGAGCACCTGAAAAACAGAAGACACCATCCTCTTCCAAGTGTCAAAGCCGTTTTCCTGTTCCCCCCGCTCCCCAGGTATGAACAGCCGAAATGCGACAACACAGCCCGGGCTCACCCAGCCGGGACGAGGGATTTGTACAAAGGCCGCCAGCTCCAAGGTGAGTAGAGCCGTCCACCGGCACTCTGGCCTTTCTGGCAGGTTTAGAATGAGAAGGAATTTCTGCAGCTCTGTTCCCACCAGGCACGTGTGGGGGCCGCAGAGCTGTTGGCCAGGGACCTCCTCCCTAGGGGCCTGCGGTCGGCAGACATGCGGGACCCCAGGGAGGACGCCTAGGGCACGTGTGCGTCTGCTTCTCCAGCAGCCAGTGACGCTCAAGGGCCAGTCCCAGAGCTGGCCTCCCAGAGAAGCAAACACTGTCCCTTAAAATCAGAACTTCTGAACCAAAGGGATCCTTTGATTCTTTTCCCTACAAGAAAGCAGTAACTCAAATGTCATTTTCGGGCATTCCTTTTGAATTGAATCAGCCATTCAAGAAGCTGAAGTTTAGGTTTGAATAAAACATGAACTCAGTCTTTGCATCAAGTGAATTTACTTACAAAGAAGTATTTCAGATTAAACAGAGGCAGTGAGTTTCATCTTACAATTATTAAAAATATGTTCACAGAAGATGTTTTATGGACGCTGTCTTTCATCAAAAAGCACGTGTTTATGATACACCAAAAACGACGACTTCAGTAGTTAAACCTAAAGCCTTTGGTGGACCCCGTGTCCCTCTGGGAATGCACGCGGGGTTAAGAGTGGCAGCGTGGACACGGTGGCCTGGCAGGCGAGGGTCCCACGGTTTGGCTCACGGCGTGAGATCAAGAGTTTACAGACACAGCTCTGACCTCGTGGCGTGAACTTGATGGCGTGTAAGATGCCTCAAAGCTGCTCACTATTTATGTCCTTTTGGTTCTCTTTTTTTCTTTTAAATATCTCCAGATTGGGTGCATTTAACCAAGACCTTAGAGACCCTACAAACTGTCCTCCAATGTCTTAGCTCAGAGCACATGTTTGATCCCGGTCTTGTAGCAAGTCCGGATAAACGCCGCTTAGAACAGCATGGTTCTCGCTGTATTTGCACTCATGTCGGTAAAGAGGGTTTTAAATTCTGAGTAAAGGTGTTTTCCTGCATGTGAGCGAGGATAGAAACAGCTAGAATAGCACCCAGGCACGCCTCCATCTGCTCAGCAACGGTGGGGATGGGAGTAGCTAAAACGGGGCGGGGGGTGGGGGCCGCTTTCCTCCCTGGAGATGACTCTACCTGTCACCCTTTGCGGCTGCTGTGACGTGCGTGTGCGGGGCCGTCTCCGGCGCGGGTCTCCCCAGCAACTTCCTTTTGACGCAGTTCTCAAGGAGCCTGTGATTTTTGATTTTTGTGGCTTTTCACACCGTGTTTCTCTCTGTGTGGTTGGTGTGTTCTGCGTCTCATGGGTCGGGCTCCTTCCTGCATCCTGGGACGGGGAGAGAGGAGAGAGACGGCGGAGGAGCACCCACAGACCCCGTGCAGATTCCTAGTTAAGCACCCTTTGTATTCATGGTGTGTAACGCTTGGAAGGAGCTCGGCGGACGGCTGAACTGCTCCCGGATGCTCTCGGCCGAGCGAGGTCCCTCCCTCCATCGCCTGGTGTGATCTCTCGCCTCTGATGTCAGGCCTCGTCAGGGGTGGGTGGGGTTTTTCTTCCCAGGAAATGATGGCTCTGGCAGGGGCTCGGCGCACCGAGAGCCGTCAGTGGGCGCCTGCTGTTTGTAGCAGGTCTCAGTCGTGTCGCGCGGACGTCAGTCCGCCTTTGGCTCCACGGGTCCACAACTCCGCGCGGTTTCCTTTTTGGGAGGACGGACAATAGGACGGACCCCACCACTTCTGGCTCGGGCAGTGTGTGGTTCGCACGCTCGCTGCGAGGGCCGGTCCGTCTCCGCGCGTCCAGTCTAGTGTTGTTCGTTAGTAAAAGGTCACGGCGTGTGACCAGAGACAGTTCTCCGCTTCCTCCTCACCGGGCGGGCTTGCTAGAAGCTCTTTTCACAGTGACTCGAGCCCATTAAATACCAGACGGGCCCTTGATTTAAAGACGGGAGTGATTGCTTGGACTGTGGGAGCAGCTGCTCGTCCCGCTGAGGAGCGTGGGGGGCGTCTCGTCGGCTGGTCCGCGGTCAGAGTGTGGCCGGCGGAGTCGCGAGCGGGCCGTGAGGACGCATCCCCGGGGCTGGGACGCCGCCCCTTGGCCCAGACGGGGGTGGGGGGGGATCGTTGGGCCATCGGAGCAGAGATGGCCCTCCTCGCCCACACCTTAAATGAAAACCAGAGCCTCCAGGCACACAAGCCACTCTTTACACAAACCGTGTCATGGTCAGCTCCGTACCGCTCGTGACTACTTCATCATTTTGATTTTTTGGAGATAATTATCCTTATTAGGGAAAAAACAAGTGGGTCTTGGAATGACTCCAGGGTAAGGCTGTTCTTGGGGGAGGAGGAAGCTGTTGCCAGCTCCGGGGCCGCTCGGACACACTCGTGAGCCACATTTAGGTGGACGTGTTTTCTTCTTAAAAGGTGCGGTGTTCATATTCAGGGACTACGTCCCAGCCGGCGAGGGTCCTTCATTTTCCCAGCCGAGCTGGTAACTCGCTCAGACGCGGCCCACGTGTTCCGAGCGTTTGTTGACAGCCGGACGCTTATTGCCGCCGTCTCTGGGGTAGTTAGGACCTTCCCTGGCTCACCTGGGGACGCACGGCCTCTCACTGTGGAGGGGGGTGGACATCCGGCCTCATGGGCCCCCTGTTGAGAACTGGGTTATTATTTAGGCGCTTTGATTCCATAAGTTTCCTTATAGGGCCCGAAATTGTGTCCTGACAGAAAAACCTAGTGTGGTAGACATTTTAAAGGTTTTATTTTTATTTATTTGAGAGACAGAGCACAAGCAGGGGGAGGGGCAGAGGGAGAAGCAGATACCCTGTTGAGCAATGAGCCCGATGTGGGGCTCAATCCCAGAACCCAGAGATCGTGACTGAGCTGAAGGCAGACGCCCAATGGCTGAGCCCCCCAGGCACCCCGAAAACGGCATCAGGGAATGCCTTTCCCGTCTACAAATGTGCGTTGGTTCATCTGTCCTGGCGTATTTCCCTCACGTCTCTTCCTACACCCGGCCCATGCACTCCAGCCTGCCCACGCCCTCCCCCTGGTCTCCCGAGGGCCCTCAGCTCTGTGAGGGCATGGGAGACAGATGTGACTCTCCGTGGCCAAGCCTGCTGAGGCCCCTTTCCCCAAGACTGGTCCTTCACTGGCTCACTGTCCCCACGTGGCCGCCAGGGTGTCACTTTCTAGGGAGGCTCTCCTGGGCTCTTGTCCACTGGGCATGGCCTCTGTATGTGTCCCGGAGGCATCCAGGGTCCACGGGCTGTGAGCAGGTGTCACACACCTTTGTGGCCTCTGAGAGGTGGGGCTGAGCCATCGGAGCCTGGCCAGCTGGCAAAGCTCGGAGCACACCGGGAAAAGTGTGCCGTGATGCTTTCCTGCTCACAGTCTTGGGCTGTTCTGCACTGAGTGATACTGTGGCCTTAGCATCTGTGGGTGGCTTTGCTGATTGGAAGGGTGGGCGGCGTGAGTCCCTGACACCTGGGGGGTCTCCCATGGCGGGAGCATGGCCTGATGGCTAAGAGCCTGTCGTTCCTGCTGGGCCTCCGCGTGCCTCCAGGAGAAAGGAGGAAGGGCACGTCTCCTCCTCTGTTCTGGGGAACACCTGCAGCCTGTGGATGAGACCAACAGACTCGCCCTGTGGCCCCTCCGGCCCCCAGAGGTCCCCCCACACGCGGACTGCAGGCACGGGATACACGGGAAGCAGAAGCCAACCGAGGGGCGGCACCTGCCCACGCCACGGCCCCGCGTCCAGTCTGCAGACACAAGAGTCCCTCTTGAGGCCCCTCCCGTGATTGTGGGCGTAACGGAAGCTTGGAATCAGTTAGAGACCCTAAAAGCATCCCTGCATTCTTTTAAGTAATACTTTTGCTCTATTCTAACTTTTCTCGAAGTGAGCTGCGATTTTCTGAGGAAGCATAAAGTGACCCTCGCCTCGCCCTGAGCACGGCTGCCACTGCTTTTCTAAAGGTGGCGATTCTCTCTGGGTGGGTCCGTGTTGCGAATGGCAAGAGACCATCCTTTCTGCAGCTGAGTGACACTGCCCTCCGCGTGTGTGAGTGTTTGCCCGCGTGTGTGCACCTGCCCCTCGTCCATTCGGCTGTGGATGGACCCTTGGGCTGTCCCCATGTCTCGGCTCTCACAGATGCTGCTGCTGTAAGCACCAGGGGGCCTGCATCTCTTGGAATTAAGGTTTTAGTGTTTTCATTGCATTTGGTAAATACCCAGTAGTGCGATTCTGGGTCGTAGGGCAGCTCTAGTTTCGACCTTCTGAGGAGCCTCCATGCTGTTCCCCAGAGCGGCCGCCCCAGCTTGTGTTCCCGCGCGCAGGGCACGGGCCTCCCCCTTCTCCGCGTCCTCGCCAGCGTTGGAGCGTCCTTCCGTGTGTGCAGCCATCGGTAGGTCTTCTTGGAAACACGTCTGTTCAGGTCTTTGCCCATTTTCAATCAAATCATTTGTTTTTCTGGGGTCGACTCGTAGAAGTTCTTTATGTATTTATGATGTTAAGTAAAAGAAGTCAGACAGAGAATGATGAATACCGTGAGATTTTACTCCTACGTGTGATTTAAGAAACAGACCAAAGAAGAGACAAAGAAAGAAACAGACTTGACTACAGAGAGCGACCTGATCTGCAGAGCAGGGGTGAGTGGGGACAGGGGAGGTAGATAAAGGGGTGAGAGGCACAGAATTCCAGTACAAAGTAAGTAAGTCACGGGGTGAGAAGCCCGGCAGAGAGAGTGTAGTCGGCAGTTCTGGGCTAGTGTTTGCGACAGACGGTGACTCTGACGCGGGGAGCTGGGTGATGTGCGGACCGGTGGCATCGTGGCCCCCCCCCCCCCCCCGAAGCGAGCCCACTGCTGTGGCAGCCGTACTCCACGAGCAGGGAGGCAGCCGGACCCTGAGCCTCGCACCTGCACAGGGGCTGCAGGACCCCAGGAAACCCCCGGGTTCACTTCTCTCCCACAGGGACCCCACAGCCTTCAAGGCTC